ATCACCGGCCGACGACACGGGGGGTGGAATCCGTTCGATCTCGGCCGGTCTTGGAATCTCCGGGGGACTCGCACAACGGATTAAAGCCCAATTTACGCCTTCGAAGAAGGGGTGTTGTTTGATCTCGGTTGCGCCTCGCTTATATGCCAACCTATGCTGTGGCTCTTTGACGAGTAATCCCCTTATCAAATCTCTTGCTGCAAAGCTTACTACCGGCGATTCCGGAAATCTCAAGGGTTGCCCTACGACATTGAAGAGAGTTGCTCGGTTCCCGGATCCTTTGAAAGGAGTTTTACCAAACAATAGCTCGTACAAGAAGATCCCGAAAGTCCACCAATCGACAGCACTTCCGTGCCCCTCACCTCTGATAATTTCAGGAGCCAAGTACTCATGGGTTCCCACGAACGACATGGAACGAGCATTCGTCGGCTCTGCAATAAGCTCGGGCAATGGACTGACTTGGTTCCCCATTTCATTCTTTGGCTTGCTGTCTTTTTTGGATTTCGATTTCGATGAAAAGAAGCGAGGTGAAAAACATGTTGTTGGGACCACACATGATGGCTGGATGCAAGCAGGTTGTACACAATAAACCGGATTCTTTCGCAAGGAGTCAGACTCGGTGTGGATGACTTGACCAGTGTCGGACTGACAGTGCAACGGAGTGAAAGATCAAAGTCCGAAAGCATTATGTGTCCATCTTCTCGAACGAGAACATTTTCCGGCTTTAGATCACGATAAACAATACCAACATGTGGAGGTATTCCAAAGCCAGGAGAACCTCTGCTACATAGAACCTGTATGTCGAAGGAAAACATAGCAATGACTATCAGAACCTATATGGCACATGTTCATTCAATCCTATTTTCATTAGTAAATCAGTTCATATGCCTATAATGAGAAACAACAACACGATAATACTAACGATAATAATCAGATATTCGAGTTGATCCGAATATAAAGCAATAGATGTGTTATATAAGTAGGAGGAATTCCCATACTTCACCGCTAGCTCAGTAAAATGCTTCCCTGGTTGTCTCTGTCTTAGAGTATGCAAATCACCCCCGGGGCAGAACTCCATCACCAAACATGAGAATTTATCGGTCTCAAAATTTGTATACAATGTCGGAAGGAAGGGATGGTCCAGGGATTGCAGTATTTCTCTCTCGGTTTGAGCTCGAAGAAGTTTCTTACGACTTGCTAAAGATGCTTTGTCCATGACCTTCATGGCAAAATAACACTTTGTTCCACTTAATTCCGAAAGATAGACACTTCCGATATCCCCACAGCCTAATCTCCTCAGTAATCTGAAATGGTTCAGACCCAACACACCGTCTTTTACTCGGACAGCCTGTATGGCTTCCCACCTTATATCGTTTGCCTTATGAGGTTTGTTGATATACTACTAAAGCTACTACACGTACTTCATCGCTCACATCGCTACTCGTGCTACCTCTGCAAATACTGTTCTTACCGCTCTGAATACGATCCGGATGATCACCGGCTTTGGCACTTCCACTAGTCACAGCAAGGCTGGAAACCCCATCACTGGATTTAGCTGAAGCCGGATCAATTCCATGTTCCGATGCTTTCTTTTCGTGTTCACCGGAACCTCCTGGTAATCCATGATTCTGACTCACTTCAGAAATAACATGATTCGGAACTTCTTTCAGGTCACTCAGCGATAGGCTCGAATCTATTTTCTTCGTCAAGGAATCAACGGACTCTACTATCCTCGGAGTAACCGGCTCCAAATTGCTCGTCTTCGTGATCTGTATCGGAGGAGGCCGACAAGAGTTCCCTTTGGCAGTTTCGCTACCGAATGGCTTCTTCGGCTTTTCCGAGGAAGGTTTGTCGCTCGATATCGAGGCCATCGAAAGGAATCAAACTTGTTACACAGATTAAACAATACAAATTCATTAGTTACCCCCAATCATCAACACACGGTTACCTCCACCAGCAATTCTAGTTACTCCCCCCATCAACTTCATCATCTACAAACTGATTTTACAACAGAAAATTACCAGCTGCAAACAAAGTTTTCGCAATCATGAGATAGTCAGATTATACATACATATAGTATACCTAAATGAAAGTCTACAAAACACAACCAGTAGCTCCATTTATTACATCAAAATTTAGATGATTCATGAATATATCCAAATCAAATCATTACAACAGCAAAGTATCATACCACTCAAATCCATATGAATTCAAGGAAAAACAGAAAACCAAATAGGAAAAAACAATGAAAAAATGGCTAACAACAGAGAGAATTGCATAGAGAACCAGATCAACTCCAACAGATCTCTCAAATAAACAAAAGAACCATCTTTGGATCAAAATCCCACTAAAGATTCAGCAAGGATTTCACAAAATCTGCTACAAGCTAAGAGCAAAAAAACCAAAGAAAAAACACACCTGATATGCAGTTTCAAAACCAGAAAGGCCTTCTCTTCAGCAGTGGAGCAAAAATAGCCAAGTTTTTCTCTTATTAACTCACTAACAACTATTGATAGAGATTAAAGAATGGAATTAATGATAGCTTGTCTTCCCAGAAAATGTGTGGAGAGAATGTAAAGGAAGGAAGACACAGAAAGAGAAAGACTTTATGATACAGAAGGGGAAAAAAGCTTTAGAGAGAGAGTGTGTGGGTCTATCATTAAAGGAGATATAGAGAGATAAGATGGTCAAAGCTAAAGTAGGGTTTTGGGGTGAGGGGTTGATTCACTATTTCAATGCATGTATTTGTTTCTGTTCTTAAAAGAACAACAAAGCTCTTAAAAAGATTAAAACTTTACAAAGGCTCTCCAACTCCAGCCTGTCATCTTTCTTTTCAATCTCCATGCTCTTTAGTTTTTAAGCCTACCCCTATCTTTTATTTCAATAATTTTTCATGAAGACTTTTTTTTTACCTATGTAGGGGACTAAATACATAAGAATGATCTTTGAATAAAAAGCCTTAAATAAACACACAATTTCTCAAACAAAAGTTTGATTTTTTCACTTATTTTTAATGAATTTTTCGTTTTTCTTTTCTTATTTTAGGACCAAAGGCTAGGGGTAGAGTAGGGTGTCCTTTAAACTTGGGTGGTCCATTTCATGGAACAGCAACAGCCTTGCTTTTAGCCTTTTGTTGATGACGGCGATGATGATGAAAAGTATGGCCATATCATGGAGCTTCACTTAATTACCTTATTATGAATCAGACCAGACGGCTAGGATTCAGATGAGGTGGGCTCTCTTGCAAAACTTCATTGAGTGGGCAGTTATCCACTCAAGTTTGGTGGGGGGAGTTAGGACACTTGAGCAAAAAATTATAATATATTATTATATGGTAAAACTCAAACTAATAAATTAGTTGATCAATACATTTTAAATTATCTTATAAAACTATCCACTAATCAAATTTTGTTTCCAAATGATCAACCACCAACACAATAAGTGTGCCATAATTTGGCACAAATAAATGATTTAGATTGTTAGTTCCACTTCCTACATTGTCCAACATGTTTAATTGGATCTCTTTAGTTTGGTTGTATTTGTGGTCTTCACTGCAAATTTAACTCCTTTTAATTTGGGGTTGGTGGATTTTGTGAAGTCATAATGATGAGGATGTTGTAGAAAGTACTTCTGTTTTTCTAATATGTATTGGACCGACCATTTATGTAGATTTTCATCTTTAATAATATAGCCAAAACATGTCAATATAAAGGTTTATTAATTTTAAATTTAAAGAATGATTCTAATGGAAAAAGGATTATTATCTTTGATTATTCAAGTGTGATTGTATTTATAAAAACTTAAAATTTTAATATTTGATTCGAAGGTAAAATGAAAATAAAACCCTTTGAATGAAGGGAACTATGGATATTGCTTGTTAATTGCACACCATTAATCATATGGTATTTACCTGTGAAAACTTTGTACCAAAATAGTGATGTCTAGATTGCTCATTAGTAAATGTAATTAATGAAAAGATGACCCTTTTAAGATTCTAAAATTTCATAAATTTGATTAGCCAAAACACCTAATCATGTCCCCACTAACACACAAGAACGAGTTGGCATTTCATACTTAACCTCTAATGCATGCATCTATTTGACTATTTATCAACCTTCTTTGATTATTTATTTTTGGATGGTCTATACTTCAAGTATTTGGTGTGAAACCGAAGTTCTTCGTTTCAAAGAAAAAGGTTAATAGACTAAACAAGCCCTTGAGCTTTTTCACTTCGTTTCAGATAAGCTCTTATATATATATTGCTTTCAATAAGCCATTGACCTTTAATTGACAACATTTAAGGTTTAAGGGTTTATCTGAATACCAAGGTCTTATTTGTATAAAAAATTATACAAGGGTTTATGTAAATAAAAAAGTTTAAGTACTTATTTATATGGTTATGTCCATCCAAAGCCTACTTTTTTTCCTTGGGTGGTCCAATGGATGTTGACATTGTCTGTAAATGACAATGAGATTGTCTTTGTATTCTTACACTATTGCATATGTTTCCTTTTTCTTTTCTATCCTACTTTGTTTCTCCCATCACATTCTTGAATCCAACACCACATAATCATATCATTAATGTGTACGAGAAAGCATTCTACTGTACTTATCCAATTGTAACAACTGAATCACTAATCAAAGCAACAAGACCGTTGATTCTTGATTTGTTTTGGTTTAGATTATGGATTTTCACCTGTTCTCAACTATTCCCTCTATTTTTCAATAATTCAACTGACCAGTCCAATCCTAACAACAACGACCGTATATGCATAACATTTGTAACTTGTAAATCATTGAATGAGAGAATCATAGAAAGAGAAATCTGGAAACCAAAGTCATTTTCACTCCTTGTTTGTTTTGACATTTGTTCCTTGATTTGAATATAAAAATATCTACTTGTTTCTTTCTTCCTATCCCAAGAGGATCACTAATCTAATCACTGTGCCAATAATCAATCAAAATCATTCATCATAGAAAACAGATGTAATTTAACAGTGTTGATGCCACTAAAAGCAACATTGATGAATTTGCTACTTCAAGGTCAAACTTGATCCGTGTATTACAACTATATTTTTATATATATTTATGAACAAAAAATATAAAATGCTCATCATCAATAATCCTTCCCTCTCATTCCATAATCTACTTGGATTATAATAGAGAAGGGTCTATAAAGTTCATTGCTTCTCTCATCCGTGCTAACCATATAAATAAACATCATGAGAGTTCCGTTATCACACGTTCACACTTATCTTCTAGAATCTTCACAGCTTCAGTAAATAGAACTTCAGGAGGTAATGCTCCGGTAGATTCAATGGTAACTAGAGAAACAGGGAGAGAACATATTAATCTTAAGACATGCGACTTCAGCTTAAGTCTAATCAATCATAGGTATCAATGAAATCTAGAAATAATTTGATAAGAACACACAAGAAAGATGTGGAGTAGGCCCCATTTTACTTACATATGAAATGATTTTTAACACGACGTAGTGCCACTCGTTTCTCCCCATCACCTCTTATGCATTCCCTGCAAAGCGTGCAAGACCGAGGCCTTGCTACGGTTGCCCTTTTCTTACCTGCTTGGCATCCGGATTATTCATTACGAAATATATCTAAAACAAAATGTTCTAACTTCACATGCTAAAGCATATCAAAGCAGAACCAATCAGCACTATCCCATAGCTAGTGACCCAACTATTGTAGGCATATAATCCACATTCGGAAAAGGAAACATCAGAACCCCTTCTATAGAGGGAAAGATTAGTACCATAATTTATGCTATACAGACAACAAATCATAGTGAACAGATGTACCTCACCTTTTCCAATATCTTCTATGTCAAATACATTAACTGGGCATTTGCTTTTGAGTTCTTCAGCGAGGTCATCTTCAACATCCTCCAGTAATATAACCTGAATACACACACACATCACACACGCATACGCACATATATATCCAAGCATAAATAAATGTAACAATATAGTGCCAAAATGAAGAAGGTTTAGAAAAGAATGAAATCAACAGTTACTGTCTATCCTTACCTCTGGAAGCATCCGATACCAAGCAGTGGCCACAGGGGACCACTTTGCATGTGTTTTTCCAATGCCTTTAACAGCATGGGCTTCCAATTCAATTTCCTAGCAGAAAAAGTTGAAACTTTTAGTACACTAGAAAACTTCATGAGAATTAGATTAACTTCTGACAACTTCAACAGATCCTGACTAATGAGAACAGTACATAAAGTAAACCTTGTTAATCTACAAGCACCACATTACGATTTCAAAGAGATTTTATGTAACCCAAGGCGCATGATTTGTCACCTAGACATGTTTTATGAGCAGTTATTGAAACAAACAAAAGCATGTAAAGCGTATCTGTCTTGTAACCAAAAAAAAGTATCTGTAACCAAAAAAAGCGTACCTGTCCAGGACCAAGTTTAGCAAGTATAATATCTGGATAATTAGGGGCAATGGGGTTCTTGACAAATTCTGGAACACTCTCTTGGCTGCAACTGAAGTAAGTGTAGGTTTCAGGGTTTGATGATGACTCTGAATTTGCAGTTGATTCCTTAACCAGTTCACTTCCATTAGGCAACCACTTCAATTCATCCGACTTAACTGCATTAAACATCATCAGAAAAAGGCAAAGCTAAAAGGGGAAGACTGACGAATTTAATTGAGTAGAAAGGCTTCGTGTTTTACACATGAAGCACCGAAGTGTACCTGTAATACGTGGACAACCCTTTTTACAATTAACATGGAGTTTGAAAACAACGGTGTTCTTTTCATTTGGTTGATCATTTTCTACAATGAAAAAGAGACCGAAACAAAGAATTACAAGTGCCCCAAGGCAAAATCCAGAAATTCCCTTTCTTTTCAACTCCAGAAGATATAATATATATGAATCAAACCTGACATATAATCAAACAGCCTTGGGTCAACACGGATTGGAACAAGGCCCATCCTATGAGCAAGAACTTCATCTTGGACTACAGATGTGTTGTTTGCAATGAGAACTTTTTCGATTGCCATTGTCGGAACCTGCAAGCATAATCAGTTCCATTAGTAGCAGCTGTGACAGCATTCATCAATCTAACACAGCAAGCTTTAGTACTGAAAAGAGGTAGATTAAAAAGTCACAGACCTCAGCTATAAGGATCCTCCGGAATGAATTGGCAGTAGCTGCATCGATACCAATCATATCAAACACCATGTCATCTTCATTAAGTTGAATCACCTCAACTCTAAAGTTGTTGCAGAAATTATCAAGTCGTACACTATTATCAACTCCAATCGATGCATAGGCACCGGAATATTGAATGCTCTCTGTCTGCAAACAACAGAAGTCCCCAAGACATAAAAGACATTTTTAACACACAAAAGAAACTCAAAAATTTAAGAACCTTAAGAAAAAGAACAAGACATCCAACTTCATCAAACTCAATGTTGTCGGTCCCAAAAATAAGAAAAAAGCTAGCTAATTTTTGGTTCCCCAATCAAACAAATCCAAATAAATAACTTTTTTTCTTAACAATTCATGTATGAATAAATGGTGTTTACAAAAAAAATCTCAAATGAAGCTACGAGCTTGATGGGAAAATAAGTAATGGGTGCTTTAAAGAAAAAGAGACGGAAGAAAGAAGAGGGAAATACATGAATCGGGGCATCCTTGTTGCAAAAAACACGAGTTCGTTGGAGTTCAAGGTGCAGTGGCAATTGACCCATTGGCACGTCAGGCAAATCCCATACTGAAAATTTCTTTTCTTCTCCTCTTCCCTTGTCTTGCTCTGCCATTGTTGTTTCGATTTTGCTCTTTGGTTTTCAGGGTTTTAGATGAGGACTGAAGCTAGAGGGTTTTTAGTTACCTACGAACAAGGGAGTGAGCAGAAGCGTTTATGAGGGTTTTAGGTAAACTTCAGCCCTCGCTACACTAAAAGAGATTTGGCCAATACAATAAACCCCTTATTAATTTATTTAAAAATAATTATGAATTTCATCCCTTATTTTACATAGGATTGAAATGCTATTCCATTTATATCAATTAAATTTTATCACTGGGAGTGAAAAAAAGTATTTTATGTAAAAATTATTTATCAAAATTTAGTTAATTGATTATTTTAGATATGATAATAATTAATTTGTATTTAAATTTATTAATTTGGTATTTAATTATTAAATAATGAATAAATTAATTTCATATCTATTAGTGATTCCTTTTTAATATCTTTTTGGTTGGATTGTTTAGCATGTACTATCACTATTACTGTGCTTCTTTTCTTTTTATTTAATTTCTGTTTGGAATTTATGGATTCTGAAAAAAAATAAAGATAAAAGAACATTAAAACAAATTATTAGGTGGAATAATTCTGAAATTTACAATAAAAACAATTGTTATAATTCTACCACTATTTGTAGAATTCCTTCCATTAACAGTGTATCAAATAATTGTTCAATTAAAATTAGACTAAAAAAAAATAAAAATTAACAAAATTTTGATTAAGGAGAAATTTAAAAAACAAAACTTTAATTAAATAGTGAACGAAGAGTCATGCTGTCATCCAGTTCTCATATCACTGCATTTGCAAAGTACAAATTTTCAGAAGAATCATTTTCCACTCTTACCTCCCCTTGGTTGCTTCTTTTTCTCCCTCATTGTCTTTCTCTTCTCTTCCTTGCAAGAATTTTGGACAATAAGTAAAGAATTTAACGATGTTTCTCATCAAAACAAATGATTGAATTGTATTGAGATAAGCCATCCTACCTCGCTTTCGATATTTCCTCTTCAGAAGGAAACTTTCTTTTCCTCTTTTTAGATGTTGCAAGCGATTCCACCTTTCCGTTCTCGCTTCTTTCCTTGTTTATCAATGTCAGTGGCAATTCAACCTTTTCATTCACTGCATGGCTCTGCAGTAAAAATATTTGGTATTCAGATCACCAAAAGATATCCAATCTACCCAGGAACGTTGCTTTCAAAGAGTTTCTTGAAGGTCAAGTATTTGCTCAAGCTCTGACAACATATTGGAATCAAGGTCGATGAGATAACACGTCCGACAATTGGCAAGGGCCCTTTGAACGCCACGAATACGAGCCATAACAATCTTCTTTATAGATCCCAAGTAGCCAAAGACTGTTTTATACCAAATATTAGCAGCTTTAGTAAAATCCGATATTGTGTTGGCTAAAGAATTAGAGGCTTGCCAATTATCTCGGACCATACAAGAAAAGTCCTCATGGGATATCCAACCTGAAAAATAACGGGACTAGGAGTTCTTGGGGAAAGATCAAGAATTACCAACACTGAGAAGGAGCGGATGGTGATCATATTGCATACGGAGAAGATGAAAACCACCGAGTCTGGGAAGGAATCGTCCCAGGAAGAATTACAAATTACTCAGTCAAGATGAGCCGAAGTATAGCCTCTTGACCACGTAAAAGCCAGACCTTGGAACCCCATATCATGAAGACCAAAACCATGGAGAAAGAGTTGGAAGTCCAAGCTTAGCCGAGAACTGGTAGCACTTCCTGATATATCCGAGTGACTGAGGGTTGTGTTAAAGTCTCCGAGAATAATCCAGGGGCTAGAAATCAATGAAGCAAGATGGAGCAGATAAGGCTAAAGACATTTTCTCTTTGTAGGCCAAAGACTGAAGTGTGATCCTTTATAGAAGTAAGCATGCAGTGAACAAATTGAAAATGGTTGGAGATGATGTCGACATGAACAAAATCAAACCAACATACCCAAATTCCGCCAGAGAATCCTGCAGCTTCAATTCGGTGGGAGAAAGGAAAACCAGAGAAAGGAAAACCAGTATGCCAAATCACCATATCAGCCTTAGAGCCACTTACACGAGGTTTGACAAAAGCCACAACATCAGGTTTATGATCACGGAGATATTGTCGAATAGTTTGCACAAATTTTGGGTGTCTACATTCCTGAATATTCCAACAACAAAATTAAAATTCACAAGAAACTATTGAGTGGAAGAGGGACACCTCAATTATTCTAACATGGCAACCACGTGGTCGCGATTATCTAGGGCCTGAAGACCGAGCAGCACATTGGGAAGAGTCACTTGGGATAACGTTTGAACATGATTGACAGTGGTAGTAGTAGGGACAATGGTTCCTCGGGCCAAGACAATAGTGGGACCAGGATCAATTGATTTTATGGGGGCTATCGGTGAGACATGACCCGATGCAAACGGTACATTGGCAATGTTGGGATCAGAGTTTTCTGAGATCTGTAAGGCTTAGTGCTTGGTGTGATCCATGATGGTTATTTTATAGGACGTGTCGAAGTGACGAGAAGGGTTAGCATTCTGAGAGTTATAACTGCTTTGACCAACAATAGAATGTGATGTTCTCGGCTTTTGAATCCAGGAGTTAGAATTGGAGATGGCGAGGGGTTTACGCACTGGTAGCGGAGCTTTACCACGCGAACTTCTGAGATCTTTTTTAGGCCTGCTCGGTTGGGAGGTCGGGGGTATAGCCTGGGAAGTCACAGGGATGGGAGCTGAGACTGTACCACCATTATCGCTCGTCCGGGTCTCATTCGAAGGGGCATCGAGAGCTGTAAATCGGGATCCTAGGCTTGGGGTTTCAGTTACAGTTTGTAACACCCTAAACCCGATTGAGTCTAAAGTGACACATTTGATTACCGAGGCAACCCCTGATTTTCAAAACCTATTCATTATCCCTTCAAACATACTGAATGGTATCATAAATAAAACATAAATAACGATTACAAAACATTTTTATAAATCGGAACTCTGTGACTCGTAATTTAAAACAAAATAATACATATTAAGTTTACAACTTAAATACATAAGTAAGGTCCTATGAATACACATCCCATTAAAGTTACAATACAATACTCTGTCGGAGATGTTGGAAGTCATGCGGTGACGATGCTCCACGAACTGCTCAAGCTACTGACCTGCTAACGGAAAATATCTGAAGGCTGAGCTTACAAAGCCCGGCAGTATAATTGCTAATTTAGAGCAACATAAGAATTTAATAAATTAAAGCATGCTAAAGACAAGGTACTAAGCAGTAGGTACATGCATGATCCCAATCAGTGCTACCTACTTAAGGTTCTTCAATTCTACCTCTCGAATGTAATTCTCATGCTTCCCTTAGTCTCTGTTAAGAGCCTCGTCATGAGTAAACATATACCAAGTCTCTAACCTCAGTATCATCTTATAATGCATCATCTTGCATCATCTTGCAACACACAATGATGGTACCCGATATCACAAAGATGCATGCACATCACACAACAACAAGTAAGCATCATGGTGTAGCTCAGAGGTCACATAGCGTCATGAGACTCACATTCCTATTTGCTTACTAAAGGTATTTTAGGTAAGATCTGGGTCACATAGCATTAGCATCTCAAGAGTAACTTAAGTAAGGTTCGGATCACAAAGTATCAGCACTTCACTGATATCTTAAGCTAGGTTCGGGTCACATAGCGTAGGAACCATGCGAACCTAGTCTACTCCTTTAGAGTACTCGGAACGTGTTTGGGTAACATAGCATCAGCACAACATTCAACTAGCAACTACGTGCTCTTGCGCTAACTTGGATATATTCGGATATTCTATGCACACAAGATGATTGATCTACTGCTAATGTAACTCAGGTGTCTTCATCGTTTCTCGAGTGACAAACAAAATCACAACTCTTATGAAATCTTACCTCATAAGACTCTTATGGTTATCACACAATTAATGTTATTATCTGATTATTATAATAAGTCTTTGATCTAGAGCGAACGTCTTAACCCACATTAATTGATGTCACACTAAGGCGATCAAAGTAGCTCGACTACTTGATACCAAACTTATTGAAGTCAGGCGAGGTCATTTCCCATTCATCCGAACTATCTCGCTCATCCTCTCACCTAGGACGTTATGGTAAGTTTATTTATTAACCGTGTAACTAGCTAGCCCGATACCTGGCTCAGGTTCATTTCTGAGTAACAACACTTCTAACGCTTTTATCGTGCTTCTCTCAATACCCATTGAAGTAGTGGAACGACTTATCCATTCTCGGTTCACTAACGTTCTCGAAGCATCACGTTTTTCATCAATATTGAATCTGGCATATTCTTTGTACCGCATATCGGATATCTCCTGTAACGATCCTCGATCTCAGTTGTCCATATACGTCATCGATTGAAGACACTTTGGCGTATTACGCTTAATATGGTTACACCTGACGTAACCTACTCATACGAGTGTTTTAGATACGTTTGGTCATTCATGTCCCTCATAGGCTAAGCCCTACTATTACGAGTCATCTTTAGTCCTTATTGACCTTAACTGGGTCAAATATACTCATCCTAAGTGAATAGTATCGATACTCTACTCGTAGTATTGATACCCTAGGGTCAAGTACAATACTCAAATGGGTACCGATACCAAAAATACGTTTTGCTGTTAAAATTGGGGCCCAATCTCGAGACCGATACTTCTAGTCTCGAGACCAAAGTGGCAGTATCGATACTCCCTGCCTGATTCATACGGTATCGATATTGTTCATCCCAGTATCGACACTCGAATCCAGAAATTGATATTTTATGCTCGGGAAAATACCCAAAATCATCCTAAATGACTTGAGTTGGTTTCTAAACTTATTCTGAAGTTTTAGTAAGTTATTTAGGGTCTTAAGGTGTCATAAAAATATGTTACTAATGCCTAAAACATGATTTTATTGATAAATAAAATATAAACCCTAAAATGCTCAAATCACCGAATCCTAGCCATTACTTGTAATTTATGAAAGGTCAATACCCCAAAGGATTATAAATACACTACATTGATTTAGAAATCCAAAATGAACCACTTTTTGCTATCAAGCACTCTCTTTTTTGAACTTGGTTGATTTTTACCCTTTTTCCTCAAACC